TTTTTTACTACCACCTCTGACTGGGCCCGCCCCCATCTATTCTCAGCCTCCCGAGTCCCAGTTGATCGGGAGGAAATGGGGATTTTGCAGAAAACTTCCCCTGGAGTGGGGAGGGAATGGAGATTTTACAGTATCCTTCCCCAGCCACGCCCACTAAGCCATGCCAACCAAACCATATCACTCCCATCAAGCCACAACCACAGAACTGGTAGTAAAAAATTTGAATCCCATCACTGGCTTGGATCCATATACATCATATAAAGATCGAAATGTAGTTGGGACTGATCATGCAGGAAGGATCTACAATCCACAGAACTAAACGTCACTAAACATTACAGCACAAAGAAATGTTGTAGTTCGATATTTACCAGTAAGAACAGCAGAATGGCCACCACCTCCAGTAATGCTTTTGATACAAATCTGATTAAAGAGAAATGACTTCACAGCCTTAGGCAGGAGCGCATCATTTTTATGACCAAGGCCAAGTTGTCCATAGCTGTTTGCTCCCTGAAAAGAAGTGAAGGAGGGAAATAGACTTATTTATTTAAACTCTGATTAATTCAGAGATACCCAAGATATTATCTATTTGTATCTTACAGACAAATAAACCATACACTGAAGTATAGTTGTGGTATGTTTAGGAATTGCTTGTTATAGCCCTTTTTGGACAATCTGTTAGTTCATGGTTATTCAGAAATCATCTTTGCCAGTCGAGAGATCAAATAAAAGCCTTTATATGTTGAATACAACATTCTTCCCATCACACACACAGCTCTTTATTGAAGCTTTTCATTTACTAATTTATTACTGAAAATATAATATTTTAAAACATATATATTAGAAATTGGCAAAGCTTACACTGAGTCCATTTTTGTCAACAATGAGTGGCATATACTTAGATTGCAAAACAGCAGATGGTACCAAGGTGATTCAGAAAATGCTATTTGTTTATCAGGATTCTTACCGCAAAATTCTGGAATTACAAAAGGGAATTTGTCAGCTATATCTAGAAATATTAAGGGTTGAAATGTACCCTCCTCCAAGGTGGTTGTTATATCAATGTAAATTTAAGAAAAGTCGTATTGCTTTTTCTCTTTCTCTTTCCCAGTCATACTTCAATGGGAATTGTGTCATTTACACCATAATTCTTTCAAATTAACACTTCCCTGCTTTCAGAGCAATTTTAAATTAAAAAAAAATCCTATAAAAATATTTTATATATCATAAATATCTCCTTAGGGAACTCCATCTTATAATATCAGTCAGAGTATCACAAATTTTCACATGTTCATCTTCCAATGTTGTTTGTTTGTTTATTCATTTGAGCTTACCATTCCACAAAGCAATTTACAAATCCTTCTTCAATAAGAGATAAAAGAACAGTTACAGTGAACTTTGAGCCCCAGGAATAAACATCAAACATATATCATAGCCAGGAGTATTTCATTTATAACTAATTCTCAGCCAAGGTCTTTCTGAACATCTGAGCCATAAAATGGAGTCATAGTTTTAGAATATCTATGCAGGTAGTCCTCGACATATGACCACAACTGAGCCCAAAATTTTTGTTGCTAAGTATTTGCTAACTGAATTTTGCCTAATTTTACACTCTTTCTTGCCACAGTTTTAAGTGAATCAATGCGATTGTTATGTTAGGAACACAGTTGTTAAGTGAATCTCATTTTCCCATTGACTTTGCTTGTCAGAAGGCCATAAAAGGGGATCGCATGACCCCGGGACACTTCAACACTCATAAATGCGAGTCAGTTCCCAAGCATCTCAATTTTGATCACGTCACCATGGGGATTCTGCAACAGTCGTAAGTATGAAAAATAGTCGTAAGTCACTTTTTTCAGTGCTGTTGTAACTTTGAACACTCACTAAGTGAACTGTTGTAAATCAAGGACTACCAATATCTAGTCCTCTGAAATGGTCAGGAAAACCAGCTGGTCATTGGTTTTCCTGACCATTTCAAAGGGCTAGAACTAGATACTGGTAATCAATCTTGGGATAGTAACACAGTTGTTAAGTGAAACTGACTTCCCTTGGACTTTGCTTGTCAGAAGGTCGCAAAAGGGGATCACATGACCCCAGGACACTTCAACTGTCAGTGTCAACTGCATTTTGATCACACCACCATGGGGATGCTGCAATGCAGTGGTGGGTTTCCAGTTTTTTTACTACTGGTTCGCACATCCGCTCACAATGCTTCTGCGTAGAAGTGTCTGGGCAGGTAGGCGGAGCCTTCTGGTGCCATTACTACCAGTTCACCCGATCCAGGCCGAACGGGGAGCAACCCACCTCTGCTGCAATGGTCATGTGACAAACGGTGCTAAGTCACCTTTTTCACTGTCATCCTAACTTCGAACAGTCACTAAATAAACAATTGTAAGTCAAGGACTACTTGTACTCCTTACAAAGCAGCCCCGAGCAACAGGCTACCGTAATAAGGGATTTGAATCAACCAATATAATTTATAATTATAAATATATTATATGGTAATAAACCATTGGCCAGCAGGGAGCAGCAAAGGCCAAAGCTCCTCTCATAGCCGGCTCCCAAGACTGGAATATACAGACTTCCTCCCAAAAATTGGGGGGGGGGGGGGGGGGCGGGGGGGAAGGGAGACCTTTCACTTCTCTTAAGAGTATGAAGCCTTCGAAGCATTTGAAGGGATAACTCTTCAGCCACGCTCTTTAACTGCTGCCATTGCAACTACTACACGAACAGTTCATATTTTTTCCCCGAGCAGCACTGCTGAATGTGTCGTAAACCCGAGCTAGGTGCCTTTCGAATCCGCGCGATAAGCGAAGACATTAAAGGGCTTGTTAATTCGGACTGCGATGTGATTGATGAGTGTCTGGATCTGACCAAGGCATTACCGTGTGACCAGAGGAGCTTCTTTGCTGGCCTGCCTACCTGACGTGTAATTCTTAATAGCAGGTGTTCCCCGTTTAGTTTCAACCCCACCAAAGCTTCAGAGACAGCTAATTCCTCCGAAGATACAATTCTAACAAGATCCTGTCACTTTCATTAATGGGTGAAAGGGGAGGGAGGGTAAAAACACTAATCACCACCACCGTCTTGCTGCGCGATGAAAAATACACTAGTTTAGACGCTTAATTTACCAAAGAAAACAACGACAGGCAGGCAAACAAAACGCGGGAAAATTCCCCTTGCAAAGACAAAAAGTCCGCCCCTTTCCTCCTGGGCCGTAGGCTGACCCACGATAGGCCCTTTTTTTCCCCTTTCCTTCCCGTGCCCATAGGGAGGCCACGTCCTTCCGCCCTCTTATAGCACCGCTGCCGGGGACCTACCCAAGCGAGCAGGGCTCGCGTTGCATCTCGGCGGGCGATGGCCATAAGTCGCCGAAGAAGGCGGAAACCACTTGCGGAAGCGCTCGCAGCGGCCGATAAGTCCGCCTTTCCCGGCTTCTGGCTGCAATTGCAGGAGCGGGGTAGTTTTACAGTACTGTATATTTAAAGCGAAGGCCGGAGATTTGTCGACTTAGCCGGGCCGGGCAAGTAAAGAGAGAGAGAGAGAGAGAGAGAAGACTATGACCGATGCAACGCTCTTTTTTCCCCTTCGGCTTTTGCAGCGGTGGCTTGGAGGTGTGGAAGATGTGGCGACGCGAACGTGTGAGAGGAGTGCAGCGCGTGAATACCCAGGAATACGTGGACAAGACATGTCAAAGGAGTTGCTTTGTTCTGTGTGTGAGTGCGTGAATGTGTATGAAAAACAAAGCCGTCTTCGAGCGGAGCTCCACTTCTGGTGGATACGTCCATGTTTCTTGCAACAGTGTGGAAACAGTTTACCGTACTTCCCTGTGTGTGTTTGTGTATGTATGAAAGACAAAGACTCCTTTGGACACATCCATGTTTCATAGCAGCAGTATGGAAGTAGTTTACTCATACTTCCCAAGCGGTTGCATTTGGGGTCGTTTCCTACATTTACATGTAAATGAAAAGATGTAAGGGTGAGAGAAAATCTTCACACTGGGATATACAGGTTGACCTGACTTAAGGACCACAATTGGAAATATTTCATTAAACAATATGGTCATTAAGTCAGACATAATATGACTAAACATGACTATGCTGCATTTATGATCTCAGTGCCTCTTCAGTGGTTTAAGTGCCTCTT